ATATAACGCTATTGCTTCTGAACGGGTTAATTAACACGTCACGACCAGAAGAGTGGCCTCTTCATGTAAGTGGTTGAGTATCATGAAGATGTATGATACCGGTCGCGGATCCTTACTGCTTATCGGGACGGTGATTTAAATATTCGATTAATATGCCAGTTAATTAACACGTCACGACCAGAAGAGTGGCCTCTTCATGTAAGTGGTTGAGTATCATGAAGATGTATGATACCGGTCGCGGATCCTTACTGCTTATCGGGACGGTGATTTAAATATTCGATTAATATGCCAGTTAATTAACACGTCAGTTCCATATCACGGTTGTAGTCGCTAAGATGAGAGCGCTGTACTAAGTGACGTGATTCCTATGTGATTGGCAGTCACAACAGCAGGAACATGAGGCTTGCTTGCCTGCTTCTGTCGCACAAGTGCTGACGCTAACCACAACAGGAGTCGCAGCTGGGGAACTGAGGAAAAACGAGACAACGCTGGAGTGATCGGAATTCGGAACTCGAACCAGAGACTGTCCAAGCCGCTGAAGACCATAGATCATCACTCAGTTCTCCTTGTCTGTAACGTAATCATTTAATTTAAACTTGAAGAAGTATTATTAACAAGAAGTTCTGGGAAGAACTAATAGCCTGCTTTTTTGTAATACGAGACGGACCGCATTGAAAACGGAAAAATAGGGAGGATAGGACACACAGACACACAAACAAGGTGAGCTTGTCAGCTTTAGGCGCCAAGGTGTCCCTGTGACAAGCCGTGTAGGCCCATAGGGTTGCGAGACGTTGAGGCTCCCACATTTTCTAGACAATCGGCTCACAGATGGCGGTGAGGCTGTCAGCCTTTACCCTCCAGGAAGATTCCTGGTACTCATTTCTGTTAGAGGCTGAGTCGACCCCAGGGCTGGAAGGATTAGGACAATTGATAAACCAAATTACAACATCAGGAATCGAACCTGCGGTCTTGCGCCTTGTAGCGTATTGTTTTTAAATAAGGGACGTACGCTAAAAGCAATGCTTCTCCGTCTGAATCCAACCAGATAGAACCTGGAACGTGGCGTTCTGTCCAGAAGCGCCGACCCGTGTATTTATCGGCACCGTTCCCGTTGTGAATTAAAGGCTGCATTGCTGTGAGGACGAGACATCATGAAAGGACATTGTTGTGTCGCGAGACGCACCTTCATGTATGTACGAGTAGTTTTCTGCTTAACTTCGAATGAGTCTCTATGTGCTATATTAGGAGATCCGGCGGAAAATTTAGGGTAAGCGCGCGCAACTGTTTCCAGAAAGTTAACATCAGCGTTTGGAGCCGACGAGGCGACATGCAACGGCGATAGGGTTGCTTGTTAAATTGCAGTTTATTCTCGCAACGACACTCATTAGATAAGCAGTGGCGATAACACATTGCAGCTACCATGTTGGTACCTAGCTCCTCCCACCCGGGTACACGCAATGACCCCTGTACTAATGAGTTGACGTGCATATGGGGGAGGGCTGGATTATAAGTAGGGGGTGGTGTAATGCTTTTAGTTTCCATGGCAACCGAACGTGTCCTGCCCAAATGTATGCCATCATGCATGTCCTGCGCACTTACGCTACATATTGACATGAAGTGATGTGGTGTGAGGGTGGGGGGTCATTTCCCCTCCCCCCTCGAAAATGATGAATTTCTCTCCGTGCGTGCTTCCGCACCCTCCCTCCCAGCTCTACCCTGTAATGGCCCTGTTCGGTGGGCGGGGTTGTCGACAAAGAAGGAGACAGAATTTAAAAACAGTGAGAACTCATGGGCTCCTCCTGTTTATGTTGCAAATTGCCTCAAGCCCCTCCCAGCGCCATATTTTTTTTTTGTGGGGGGGGAAAAAAAGTAATACCGCGTCACTCATATTGCTTACCCCCCCCCCGCCCCG